CAGGGCTGGAGACAGGCAGCCTGACGCGGCCCCGCTCCCCCCAGGCGTGGCCGAGGTGCGTGGAAGATGTCGTCCACTTCGCAGAAGCACCGGGACTTCGTGGCCGAGCCCATGGGCGAGAAGCCGGTGGGCAGCCTGGCCGGCATCGGCGAGGTCCTGGGCAAGAAGCTGGCGGAGAAAGGCTTTGACAAGGTGCGTGTGGTGGGGCAGGGCCCCGGTGCCTGGGCTCATGGCTCAGTAGGCTTCCAGGGCGCAGGTACCGTAATTTCTCACGTATAACGCTCCCTCAGATAAAATTCTTGCTCCTCTGTATAGCAGCGTTCCTCAGCTTTTCCATCCGAGTGGCCGGATGGGCTGTACTCGCTCCCTCCAGGGGCCACATTTGGCTGATGGACCCAATTCGGCCCCCAGGACAGCCGTGGGGGGGTCCCATCCAGCCATGCAGAGTGGGTTGGGCACAACCTGGCTGTGTTCCCGCCATGTGTGGGGAAGGGCTTGTCTCTTGGGTCATGCTGACTTGGTTTTGAGCCAGCCCCCATGGCCAGACCTCCATCTGACCCTGGGGGGCACGTGGTCCAGCTCTGAACTGCCACGTGGGGCTTAGGATTTGGGCAGCAGGGAGCAGTGGCAGTGCAGTATCCATTGCTCCCCCGCTGCCAAATTTCCCCAGCCTTGGAGAGCCCCACAGGCAGGATTTAGCCACTGGCTTGGAGGTTGAACACCCCTGCACTGTACCGTACTCTCCTGTGCGTAATGCAGCCTGGAATATAACCCACTTTTCTTTTTGTTTTTTAAAAGCTCTAACAAAGAATAGCCCCCAGGTCTTGACTGTTCTCAGCCAGCAGCTAGGAAGCGTTACCTCCAGCTCCCCTCCTCCTCCTGCACCCAGCAGCAAAAAAAGTTTTCCCATATATTCCTGCTTATAATGCACCTCTCCATTTTCAGTTGCCTTAAGCAGCCAACCCCCCAACCCTCTTTACCATCTTTCCCCAGTTATAATATGTACCCCTCAATTTCCAGCCACTTAGGTTGGTGGGGGTTGAGTGCATGTTGTATGTTGGAAAATACAGTAACTCCCATGTTTCGTTGCCCCCTTGTCAGGCCTATGTGGTTCTTGGCCAGTTCCTGGTGCTGAGGAAGGATGAGGAGCTTTTCCGCGAGTGGCTGAAGGACACGTGCGGAGCCAATGCGAAGCAATCGCGGGACTGCTCTGGCTGCCTCCGGGAGTGGTGTGACGCCTTCTTGTGAGGGGCAGATGCTGCCGGCTCCTGGCCTCCGGCTCTATCAGGCCCTGGTAGTTCTCATTGAGGGGAGGGGACGGGAGGGAACCATCGCCTTTGTACCACATCCAGAATAAATTCACTCCTTATCACACCCCTTTGTGCCTAAAACCAACCCATTTTCCCCCCCCACAAGAGCTTGCTCTCTAGCTAGAAAAGGGGGCTGGAAGAAAAACAACCCAGCCAACCATCAGCTGGAAGCTGCGGTAAATTTTCCCCTGCCCTGATGTCTTTCCCAGTGGGATTTTGTGTCCTTCCAGCCCAAATGTGGGGAGTTTTAATCTTTTCCCAGCTTATTCCTGGAGAGGTGATGCTGGGGGGAAACTTTTTAGCCCTTTCTCTGGGGCTGTTTTAGGCCATGGGCGGTAAGGGGGGAAGGAATGGAGGAGGGGGGATTTTTTGGTGGTGGGAGGGACAAAACCATCATTGTAAAGGTCTTTTTGTAAAGGAACAATAAATGTTTGGCTGCGTGAACATTTCTGGGCCCTAGGCTGGTCCCTTGCGGGGTGGGGTCTGGCAGGGGTGGGAGTGGACTGATCTGCTCTCGGCTGGGGGGTATATATGCCATCTGCACATGCATGCATACGTACACACATATATATATATATAATGGGGATAAATGCTGTATACTGATCACCCCTTGGAATATTTATTGTATGTTTCCCCCCCTTCTCCCCCCACCCCTTCCCCCTGCGCATGGACCATATATATTTGTGAGGGGAAGAGATATACAATGTATACTTGGAGGGGTTGAGGGGATATGCACCATATTTCCTTGCCTATAATGCACATTTTTTGTTTATATATTTCTCTCACATATATATGGCATATATTCCCCCCTACACAAAAATATACCATATATATATTGGGGTGGGGTTATATGCCATATTTCCTTGCTTGCGATGCACATATTTTCTCTACCTATACCATATCCATCCCCTGCAAATATATATGGTATGCATCCCCCCCCCCCCCCCCCCCCCCCCCGCAAAAAGAGGATGAGTGGGTGCATGGGGTGGATGGATGATGGACAGACCGGCCTATTTAGTTTAGAAACACTTGAGGGGGACTCAGCACTGGTGAGACGTGCCCCCCCGAGAGAAGTGCCAGTGACACTTCCGGGTTTGCTGCTGGCACTTTTGCCAGTGGTGGTGGTTGGCGGCTGGGGGATCCCCACCCTGGTCAGCAATTGGCTGCTGGTATGTCGTCCCCCCCCAGTATTAGGAGGCACCAGTCGCCCATGGGACAGAGAGGTTTCCAAAGTACTAAATGGCAAAGAGAAAATCCATAGGGATTAATTATGGATGGTCTCTCTCCAGACCAGAACCAAGGATCTCGCCATGACATAGGCAGGTCCTCAGTTTAAATGAACACTAAGATGTTCTTTTTCACCCCAGCATTTAATTGCAGGGTGGGGCTTGTGTCCACTGTGGGGCAGAGGCAAGCTGTTTGCTGCGGGCTGGGGCTCTGTGCCCTGCTGGCTTTGCCCTGGGAGCTCAGCTGGGCCATGGCATTGCCTGTTGGGTGGGCAGGGGCCAAAGGGTGCGTTGGCTGTATGGCATGTCCCCTGCCTGCCCAATGGCAGGAAGCACACTGGTGTGCTGCTGTGCTCTCAGGGCAAAGGCAGCAGGGTGCAGAGCCCCAGCCCACAGGGGGCACATGCTCCCTCATGCCTCCCCCGGGGGTGTGCACTGCTGTGGGGAGTCACACCTGCCACACATCCTCTGGATGACGCACCTTGGCCCTGGGGCCCCATTTGTCCCTGTGCCTGCCGTGCTCCCTCTCACTGTGGGGGCTTTGATCTGCTCCCCCCTGCCCCTTCCCTCTTCCCCCCCACTTCCCCTCCACTTAGCTGGGTGCTGTCTGTGTCTCTGTCTGTCTGTCTGCCCCTCAGTCCCAAGCCACAGCCCCGCCAGCCCTGCTGCTGCCCCTCACTCCTGATCCACAGCACCCCGCATCCCACCAGGGTTCACAGGGATGCCCCCTCTCCGGGCTCCACACACCCACAGCCCCACCTGTGGCACCTTCACAAATAACGCCCCCCCGTACACACACATTGCAAAAATAGCATCTCGTGATTTACATGCCATTTCCTTGCTTTTTTCTTGTGGTTTTTGGCACTGTGGGGTTGGCAAAACTGAATCCCCCTGCAGAGGCATTGGTTGGCTACAGCCAGGCTGGGGGCAGTGACTGGGCTGGGCCAATGCTCCTGCTGGGACTCAACCCTGGAGGGTGCTGGCTAGAGGGTCTTGCCCTTGGGATCAGAGAGATGCTGCACTGGGATCGGGAGGGAATTCCCCCCCCCAGTCAGATTGGTCTGAGCTGGAGGGAGTGGGGGTGGGGGTGCCTGCCTCTAGCTGGCTCTGCCTCTGCCTGGGATCTCTGGAGCCTCTGTTAACACCCAGTGACAACAGCACAGCATTGGCTGCCGGGATCCCCCAGCTTTCTCAGCGGCAGATTGGGGTGTGATGCCTGGTGTGGTGTCAGGGCTGACGGTCCTTTCATGAAGGGTTTGGACGATGGATTTCACTGGTGGATCCTGCCTTTGGCAGGGGGCTGGACTGGGTGGGACCCCCGGAGCTCCCCCCAGGCCCATGCCTCTGGGATTCTGATCAAGGTTTCTTAGGGCAGCTTTGCTGGCTGCTGGCGCCTGCTCTCTCCCCTCCTGCTCACAGCCTGGAGACTCTTCCTTCAGCTCTTTGCAAAATCCTAGTGACACGCACGCGGCAGCTGTCACAGACGGCATTGCTCGTGCATGCAGCAGCTAACAGTGGTTAACGCGGTGCAGTAGCTCACTGCTGTGTTACCTGCTAGGTTAGCAACACAATTGGCAGCAGCATTATTAGCAATGTCAGCAGCCACGCTATTGGGTCTGTCTATTGGGCAGCAGCAGTGCCATGGCCGCCTCTTGTCAGTGCTGCAGTGAGTACTGATGAGCCCAATTCATTACGTCTTTAACCCTCTTCCCAGCCCTCCTGGCGTCCAGATGCCGCAGCCTGGTGGAGTGAAAGGCATTTAGGGAGTCCTCATCAGACACACTGGCAGTATAGGGGACAGGACACATGGAGACTGGCAGCCTCCACCCCAAGAGAGCCAGGGGCAGGGGGCTGTGCTGTGATGGCACCTGCTGCCTGAATGGTAGGAGGGGGAGTCTCCACCTCCTGTTAGCACTATGGGGGGCAGGACACACGGAGGACGATGGAGAAGAATGGGACATCATAGAGAGCAGGGGCTAGGGAGCAGTAGGAGGCAATGGAGTAAGAGGGGGTAACAGAGGGCAAGGGTGGGGTAATAAGGGGCAGGGGTATTAGGCGATGGTGGGGGCAATAGGGGGTGATGGGGAGCGGTGGGGGGGCAATAGGGCCTGAGGAGCAAGGGCAAGATAGACTTGACTCCAAGAAGGCAGGCGAGGGGGGCGCAGTTCTCCAGAGCAGACGAGCG